CACCCAAGGGTCACCTAAGGTCACCAAGAGTCATGTCGGGGTCACCCAATGCCACCCGAGGGTCACCTAATGTCACCCAAAGGTCACCTGATGTCACCAAGGGTCACCTGATGTCACCCAAGGGTCACCAAATGTCACCTCAGGGTCACTGTGGGGTTTCTCCCCCAAAATCTCCATTTTTTACCCCAAAACCCCCAAATTTTTCACCAAAAAGAATTTTGATTTTTCAGCCCCAAACCCCCCAAATCCTCATTTTCTGCCCAAAAATTTCAATTTTTTATGCAAAAAAACCCCCGAAATCCCCACTTTTCACCAAAAAAATTTTGATTTTTCACCCCAAGACCCACAAAAATCCTCATTTTTTTTCCAAAAATTACCATTTTATCACCCAAAATCCCCTTTTTTTTTCCCAAAATCCCCATTTTTCACCCCAAAATTTACCATTTTCTGCCATAAAATCTCAGTTTTCCACTCAAAAATCACCATTTTTTGCCACAAAATCGCCATTTTTTCACCCAAAAAGCCCCTAAATCCCCATTTTTTCACCCAAAAAGACCCAAAATCCCCATTTTTCACCCTAAAAAAATCTCTTTTTTTTACCACAAAAATCTCAAATTTCCGCCATAAAATCGCCGGTTTTTGCCCAAAATTCACCATTTTTTCTTCCAAAAATCACCCTTTTTTTCCCCCAAATCGCCGTTTTTTTTTCCCAAAAAGTCCCAAAATCGCCGTTTTTCGGCCCAAAACTTTCAGCAGCTGCCGTGCTCGTCCAGCTCAGGGCAAAGAGCCCCAAGCAGCCCCAAAATCCCCAAATTTCACCCCAAAAATCCCCACTTATCCACCCCTAAATCCCCAATTTTCACCCCAAAATCCCAAAATCCCCATTTTTCACCCCAAAATCCCCATTTTTCACCCCAAAATTTACCATTCTTCACCATAAAATCTCCGTTTTCCACTCAAAAATCACCATTTTTTGCCACAAAATCGCCATTTTTTCTTCCCAAAACCCCTATTTTTCCCCCAAAAATCACCATTTTTTCACCCAAAAAGCCCCTAAATCCACATTTTTTCACCCAAAAAGGCCCCAAACCCCCATTTTTCATCCAAAAAAAATCTCATTTCTTTACCACAAAAACCTCAAATTTCCGCCGTAAAATCGCCGTTTTTTGCCCGAAAACCACCATTTTTTCTTCCAAAAATCCCCATTTTTTTCCCCCGAATCGCCGTTTTTTCGCCCCGAAAGCCCCAAAATCGCCGTTTTTCGGCCCAAACCTTGGAGCAGCTCCTGGGTGACGTTGAAGGCGCCCTCGAGGCTGCCGGGCTCGTCCAGGTCGGGGACGTCGTCGCCGAGTTGGGCGAAAACCTGAGCCAGGGCGGAGCCGCCCAGACGGTGCCGCCCGGGGTTCAGCTGCACCCACAGGAGAGTCCCTGAAAACCCCAAAATCACCCCAAAATCAGTCACGGAAAACCCCAAAATCACCCCAAAAATCAGCCCTGAAATCCTCAAAATCACCCCAAAAATCAGTCACGGAAAACCCCAAAATCACCCCAAAAATCAGTCACTGAAATCCCCCAAAATCACCCCAAAAATCACCCCAAAAATCCCCAAAATCACCCCAAAAATCAGTGCTTGAAATCCCCAAAATCACCCCAAAAATCACCCCAAAAATCCCCAAAATCACCCCAAAAATCAGCCCCTGAAATCCCCAAAATCACCCCAAAAATCAGTCACTGAAATCCCCAAAATCAGCCCCTGAAATCCCCAAAATCACCCCAAAAATCAGTCACGGAAATCCCAAAAATCACCCCAAAAATCAGTCACAGAAAACCCCAAAATCACCCCAAAAATCAGTCACCGAAAACCCCAAAATCATCCCAAAAATCAGTCACTGAAATCCCCAAAATCACCCCAAAAATCAGCCCCTGAAATCCCCAAAATCACCCCAAAAATCAGCCCTGAAATCCCCAAAATCACCCCAAAAATCAGTCACTGAAATCCCCAAAATCACCCCAAAAATCAGTGCTTGAAATCCCCAAAATCACCCCAAAAATCAGCCCTGAAATCCCCAAATCATCCCAAAAATCAGTCACGGAAAACCCCAAAATCACCCCAAAAATCAGTCACGGAAAACCCGAAAATCACCCCAAAAATCACTGCTTGAAATCCTCAAAATCACCCCAAAAATCAGCCCTGAAAACCCCAAAATCACCACAAAAATCAGCCCTGAAATCCCCAAATCATCCCAAAAATCACCCCAAAAATCACCCCAAAAATCCCCAAAATCACCCCAAAAATCAGTCACAGAAATCCCAAAAATCACCCCAAAAATCAGTCACTGAAATCCCCAAAATCACCCCAAAAATCAGTCACTGAAATCCCCAAAATCACTCCAAAAATCAGTCCCTGAAATCCCCAAAATCATCCCAAAAATGAGTCACTGAAATCCCTAAAATCACCCCAAAAATCACCCCAAAAATCCCCAAACCCACCCCAAAAAAATCAGTCCCTGAAATCCCCAAAATCACCCCAAAAATCACCCCCTGAAAACCCCAAAATCACCCCAAAAAATCAGTCACTGAAATCCCCAAAATCACCCCAAAAATCAGTCACTGAAATCCCCAAAATCACCCCAAAAATCAGCCCCTGAAATCTCCAAAATGGGGAAAATTGACCTAAAATTGGACCCAAAAACGGAAGAAATTGACCCAAAAATGGAGCCAAAAATGGAGCCAAAAATGGGGGAAATCCACCCAAAAATTGAGCCAAAAATGGGGAAAATTGACATAAAAATGGCCCCAAAAATGGGGGAAATTGAACTAAAAATTGAATTAAAAAT